TTTTGATTTTATAAATATGTTTTTTTTTTTTACTATGAAGTTGATGATGGATTATATAACATCTGTAACAGATACTCTAAAATAATTAGATTATTTTTGCATCTTCATTCCTAAAGCTCAGTCGTTCAAAATGGCCAAGGTCTTTGCTTTAGTTCAGCTCTTTAGGCAATCGTAAAGGTAAAGTTTAACTTGATTATTTTCAGTTAGGCGCAGTCTTTCTCTGTAATGTATCAATATCATGCATGCAGACAGAAACAATTAAAGTTCATTGTCTTTTCTCAATGACTTTGGCAAGCTGATTGCAGCATCCCTGATTTTAAGCAATCCTTTGTTTATGTTGCGGTGAGGTGTTTAGACTATTTTACGGGATGCGGTATCACCGTACTGTCTAATCTATATTCCCAGTAATCCTCTAATAGCAACTAATAATTGCATTTTTTACCATAGAGTACCGATGGTCAGGGACTTGCAGCCATTGTAAAAGGGAAGAAAAGCATTTCTTGATCTGCCTCGTAACAAGAGCAAAAGATAATTAACCAGTTAAGAGACCGGGCAAGCATTTATCTTTTTCACATACCACTTGCTTGTTCAGTCTAGGGCAGGGTAGCAGTGATTGTTAGTACTCAGATTGCTGTTTAGGTGACATGCTTAATAGGGCTTTAACAGCCTGCTTAATAGTGAAGTAGGTTCAAAATTGCTAAAAATTAGCACTCTTGCTTGCGTTAACTGTTTACACAGTTGCCTGTTGTCAGTAAAAGGTCTTCAGTTTGAATATGAATCTCTTTTTCCAAGGTCCAAGAGCCAAATTAATTTTTCTGGATTAGATGGAAGCTCTTGTTGCTGTGGGAACTGCTGTTTTGTGGAGAAATTGGAGTATTTTTGAAGTATTACGCTTGATTTTTTTATTTTTTTTTACCAATAGTAGTAACAGTGAAAGCTGATAAGCATAAAAACAAACAAAAAGGTTGTCTATGTAGTACCCCAGACAGGCTGCAAAAAAGCTGTTGAGAAGGGGTGAGTATTTATAACTGTTTCTGTGCATTTGCAAAAAATCTTGAGGGGAAGGAAAAAAAAAAATCAAAAAAAAAAAAAAAAACAACCAACAAACAAACAAAAACCCCACACCAAACAGAAAAACTAAGATTCCCAGCAATCAGTGTTGAGGAGAAGGAAAGAAAATGGTCTGTCTTTAATCCCTCTTAATCGGAGGGATTAAAAAGATGTAAAATCAGATGTCAGGCTGTATCTTTTGAACCTCTCTTGCCCCAAGAACTGTGCGAGGAGGGGCAGGAGGGGACTGACGCTGGTAACTCTGCTCTGGCAGCACATTATTAGATGGTAGCGTGTGACATCACTTCTTTGTGCTAATTGCCACCTTCAATTACACCGTTAAAAGTTATGACACAGCTGGTGTTAAAGTAAACTTGATTTTCACTGTTATCCCCACGGATGTAACATATTTATATGGAGAACTAAAGTCTAGCAGGCTGTCGTGAGTGACCTCTGAAGCATTTAGGCATTAACAGCAGGTTCAGGGTGAGTCCCTTTTTTTAGGGGTTTTTAATTTTTCTGTAAATATTAATTTCAGATCAGTCCTGGCACATCCACTCTTGGCATAATGGTGCCTTGCTTTGCTAATTTACCACGCACTTGGCAGGGCTGATAGTAATGCACAATTACGAGGTTTTTTGACCAGCGAGTAATGCAAGGGTGATGTCTGTAGGAGGAAGACATCCAAGAAGTCATTCACCCATCGCCTGTCCTTAAACAGGGGTTGTTCAGCCAGGAGAGGAGAAGGCTCCGGGGAGACTTTATTGTAGCCTTTCAGTACTTAAAGGGGGCTTATAAGAAAGATGAGGACAGATTTTTTAGTAGGGTCTGTAGCAATAGGACAAGGGGTGATGGTTTTAAACTAAAAGAGAGTAGATTCAGACTAGATAGAAGGAAGAAACTGTTTACGCTTAGGGTGGTGAAACACTGGCAGAGGTTGCCCAGAGAGGTGGTAGATGCCTCATCCCTGGAGACATTCAAGGCCAGGTTGGATGGGGCTCTGAGCAACCTGATGGAGTTGAAGATGTCCCTCCTTATAGGAGGGGGATTGGACTGGATGATCTTTAAGGGTCCCTTCCAACCCAAACCATTGTATGATTCCATAAAGCCCTCCCAACTCTCCCAGAAAATGAAACCCACGAAACCCCCCCCAACTACCTTTGTGGTCCCTGGGTGCCATGGATGCGGCAGCCAGAGGTGGGAATGGGTCTTCAGGGCTGGGGAGACTTGGAAACTGAAGTCGGTCGCAGGTCTCTCCCTTCTCCATCCCTCAGTCCACCTTCACCCCCGCCTTCCCAGCGCAGCTCCAGCTGCCAGTGGGAATCGGTGAGGTGTGCATCTGGCAAATTATTGATCGCTTAAATGGGAAATAGCATCTGGCAACCCTGGTTGCTCTCTGTTGGCCATAACACATGTTCTTTGGCAAGAGGGGAGTCCAGAGCCTGCTCACCTGGAGGGAGTGCGTCCAATGTGTGCCGCAGGGGGGTGCGGAGGAAGGAGAAAGCCTCTGATATTCACGTCCTTGTGATGTGGTTCAGTTCTGCCATTGCTCTGCTGGCATCTGCCACTCCGCAATGACGTGGGCATCCTCAGCTCGCGGAGTTATGAAGTGTTTTCACGTAACGAGAGAATTTGTGTGTGTTAATTTTTATGTGCGTATTTTACAGCGCTTTATAACGATATTTAACGGCATAAAATGTTGGCACACGCTGAAAATTGGTGAAAGTTCAGCCATCTAATTTGGGCAGGTTATGCTTACAGGCACTCACACTTGCAGACAGTTTAATAACAGTATTTGGCACTGTCTCTTAGAGCTGCTTAAACTAATTAATGCATTTGCTCCCTACAGGATGAAATTGAGTTTTCAGATATATTTATAAAATGATGTGCATGATTGCTAAATATTTCATTCTTTTGAACTATAACGTCAAGTGTTTTATGTGGGTGCAGAGACAGTATATATTCTCCCATGAAAAATGTACAGTGGCTCTGGAAAGAGGATAATCTGCCCCTGCTTGTCAGAAGAGGATAATCTCTGTCCCTCTTTTAGCATGTTAAAAGGCACTCAATAATTTGGACATCTCTTGGCACGGTTGTGCTATTGCTGCCGGGGGGGCTCTGGAGCTGCCCCGTCCTCCTGCAGCCACTCAGTGCTCCGGCACGCTCTGCACCCGCTTCTCCTCTTGTTCCTACAAGTTTCAGAAAGTTATGGGTCCGCCACCTCCCCTGCCAAAAATGAGGGCAAAAAAGGGGATTTTTTGGGCTCGGGCCCCGGCGACGTGCAGTCACTGTGTTTCATTCATTTCAAAGATGACATCAGGCAATGATTCCGCGAGGCCCCTGAGTAGGTGAGGTTAACACTAATCTTGCGGGCTTAAAAAGGTTAAAAAAATAATAAGTAACAATTTGATTTGAAATAAACCTTTCTGAAGAAATCACAGTAAACAAAATCTGTTTGCCTAAGGAAACCCTCCTAGCAATCAGCTAGTAACACAACTGCTTGTGCTAATGAACCCAAAGCTGTTAATGTGGTTTCTTCAGTTAAATTGATTCATGAATTTTGAAGAGAACATTATCTAATGAATTTTCTTTGAATAGAAAGCAATTAAAAGGACAAATCAGTCTGATTAACCCCAAAGTCACCCTACTGCCACAAATGGTGTACAGTTTGAAATTATATCATAAAAAACTAGAGCAGATTTGCTATCTCTTTGCCCTCTACTAATCCATGTAAATTAATGAACAACAAAGTTAATTTCTTTGATGACCCTTTTCTCGTATCACCTGGATTATGCTGATGTTTAATTTGCTTAATGTTATAATAAAGACTAAACAGATTTTTTCAATGAAGTGATTATCATTCCCTTCAGTTAAGAAGTGATTTTTATTATTTAACACACACATAATGGTGTATGGGTTTTCTTTAAGAACAAAATCACATTTTGCTATGTTCCTATGTAACGTAATCAATGTCTATTTTGACAACTAAAGAAAGCAAATGTTTTTAATCAGTTTGTTTCTTTGCCAAAGCAGGAGACTGAAGCTCTCAGCTGGGGAAAGGTGTCTCTTTTCCTTTTTTTTTTCCTTTTTTTTTTTTCTTTTTTTTTTTTCTTCTTTTATTCACCAGCTCACTCCTCTCAGTAAGTTATTCACTAGTTAGATCTTCAAAGCTTTTACAAGTGCCTTGGAAGAGCAGTAGGTGTTCAACCCAACTAAAATCCGAACGCGACTGTCGGTTTTCCTTTTGTAAAATAATCCTGGCTTGGCAAGGTAAAACCCTGAGATGCAGCAAGAAAACTGGTCCTAATGCATTTGCTTATTCATTATTTCAGCAATTGAAACACTTAGAAGCAATTTGCTGGTGAATTAAAATTAAAATAATGGAAGATACTTTTTTTTTTTAACAGAGCCCTGTATCATTAAGGATGTGCCGTACATTCAAGGTCACAGCTAGTCCTTACATTTTGTAATGTCTGCAATGCTGAGCAGTAGCTTGGGGGTCTCGACTATAAAATGCAGTCAGGCAGGATAATACCAGGTCCGCTGGCTCTAGGGCTTCTTCTGCCGCGTGTCCCAGCTGAAGTTGGAAATTAGCTGGAGATACGAGGGCTTTGTAAAATAGGTAGAGCCGGTTATTTCTTCCTTTTTTAATTTGACTCTATGCTAATTTATACTCTGCCAATTTAATGGAAAAACCACATTGTATGAGTTAACAGGATAATTGTACTTGAAGCAAATTAAAAATATAGGAAAATCAAAGCCTTAAATCCTTTTTTATAGTGATCGGTTACTTGAAGCGCTCTTTCTAATAATCATGTATTTAAATGTAGTAATATGGGATACAATAACAGGACAGCGCATCGGGGCTGTTTAAATTCAAATTAGAAAGCTGATATTGAGACTCGTGCTTTGCGTTGGGTTTTTTGAATGTTTCATCTCGGTTGTTTCAGCCACGCATACGAGCAGTCCTCGCTTCATCTTCTTTGCAGATTCGTTCACCAGACAAGTGCTGTGGACCCTGTTGAGAGACGTGAAGTTCGGGGAGGCCGTTTCCTACAAGCAATTAGCAGACCTCGCAGGCAACGGCAGAGCGGCGAGAGCGGTGGGAGGAGCGATGAGGACCAATCCTGTAAGTTCACGTCAACTTTTAAATAAAGTTGATGGAAGATGGTGGATTTAGAGAGCTTTGTGGGCTAAATGTCATTAGATTAAATTTATCTGCTATGAAAACTGGTCTACCATGAGTAATAAGGTCAGTAAGTGTTTTTAATCAGCAATAATGCACGACCTAGTTTAATGTGATTTATTCCCTACCATTTATGGTGTTAGATGTGAAAGAGAAACACTTCTTTTAATTCATCAGCCTCTACGCCTTTTGTTGTTCTCAAACGTTCGTATGTATTCTTAGGCGAGGGAAGTCTTTTTTCCCCCGACACGGACCTCATTTTGAGAGGGTGTGAGTGGCTTTGGTGGTGTTAACAGCCGTCCGTCCTCTCTGGCATGGATACGTTTCTGAAAATGTGGAAGAGGAGGGATTTTAAATCATGTAGGTACACGTTTGAATCAAATTGCTAATTGTCAATATGTTTTTTTACCCCATGCCCTTCAAACCAGCTGTAAATGGCATTTCTCACGCCTGAATTTGAGCCAACCGGAGGGAGCAGCGCTCTATGTTAGGCCTGTCGATTCAGGAAAAACAGTAGAATACTTGGTGTCTGTCTGTCTGCCAGTAATTCTCTTTTTAGTTGTCCAGGTTTAGATTCCCAGGTGTATTTACCCACCTGAATCACACCGATGGGTGTCAATGAAGTTGGTGAGGGTCAGTGGGTCGTGTATCCTAGCGTGGCTGGGTTTGGATCCCATCGGAGCAGCCCCATCCTGAACCGGAGGGTTTCTGGGCTGGAATGGATGTACCTGCGCTGCGCCAGGAGGGAGGAGGCAGCTTGGTTCCCTAAACCCACAGCATTTGGGCTTTGGACTGCAAAAGTCTCAGCTGCAGGATTAGACCTCAGGTGGTTGTAGGGGAAGAGGGGGCTCCCAGCAGCCCTGGACGTGGTGGTGGGATGCGCTGGTGGGCACGGGCTGCGTGGGACTGGTGCTGTGGCCGGCTGGCTCCCGTGCCAAGGAAAGGACAAGCTGGTAAAGAGAACGCCACTATCTCTCTCTTCACACATTCATTCCCTTTCTACTTGCCTTTAGAAAAAGAAAAAACTTTTATTTCTATTAATATCGCTGTGGCCTTTTTTGGCCATTCTTCATTACCACTTGCCCTGAGCAACATGTGTCTTTCCATACACAAATTCCTCTCCTTTTCTCTAGCATTATACCTGCTGTAATCTTTGACCTCCTCTGTTGTTTTTACGTTCAGTGCTCTCAGTATTTTCTTTAATAAGGTACATACATACGAGACTGCAACGTGTAGTTGCAAAGTGGGTTAAACAGTCTGTTTTCACAACAGAGGAATAATAAAGGTGAGGGCGTTTTGCAGTGCCACATATTATCTTTATATTTCACCTCATTTGTAAAATCAACCTGCACATTATGCGTAGTCAACCTGCATATTACGGCTCATAGGTCTGAAGGACCATGTAAAGATTTACATGGGAAATAAGAGAAACATAGTGAAGAGGTGCTCATGCTGAAGTGCAAAAGGAGTGTGTGTGTGTTTGCCTGTGGAATACGCATGAAGTTGCAGATTGACTACAGGAGATGTGTAGTGACCAAAATGTGTTTTGGAATGGGCAGGGCTCTCATTTTTTTTTATATAATCAGCTTTCTATTACAAAATATTGAGGCGGTATTATATTAATATAGCTCTATTTTCCCTAAAGCTATAGACATTATTATCTATAATATGCTAAAAAATTTTCTGCTGGGGACAGAAAACACTGCAGCCATAGTATGGGATGGGAAATAACAATAATAAGATAGGGCCCCGTTTAAAAAAAAATTGCAGTAGCTTTGCTGTATATTCTCAGAACTATTTTCATCCTTCCTCACAGGGGAAAAAGCAGGAATTTTCACACCACAACCTGCTGTTACTGCTACTTTGGATGCTGCTGCTCCACTGCAGCCTGAGGGCAAAGCTGGGTACATTTCTAGGCGATAGCAATTACATATCCTTTTGCACAACACTATATTGTTATTCTTTGAGAACTGTTTCCTGTAGGTTTGCATTGTGTTGCCTTATCTTAATGTACACCATATTATATTGGAAAGCGTTCCATCATATTAAAATAGTTTGTATTGTCAAGTACAATACAGCGTATTGACGAAACGTAGCTTTACACTGTTTATGTGAACTGTTTCATAGGAAAAATCTGATACACGCTTAAAATATCAGGGTGTGCTTCTTTATTGAGCTGAGAAGCTTAAACCCATTAGACGTTACGTGAGTTTCTGTGGTAGTGTGCTACCTGCGTAGAATCGTAGGAGACCCGTGAACCTTGTGCGTGTATAAACACACTTGCAGTCTGTTTATCAGATGAGATATTGAGCTTTGAATCTAACTAAACAGTTCATTAAACTGAACACGTCATCTGGACTGCAGCATCGTTAACGTATCAGCGCAGAATGCAAAGGGCTGTGCTGTTAACAACTGCTACACCTGCAGCGCGAGCTTTAGGGTATAAATACTGGTTTTGAGGAGCAATTGCTTCGAAATTGTTGCAGAAATGCGATGTTTTGTTAAGCAGCAGATTAGTGATTTTTGTTCGCAGGAGAGAAGCTGACGCTAGTGAATACTTGTATTGCGAATGTGAGGCAAAAGCGAATACTTCTGTTAATGATTGCTGCAGAAGCTGTGCAAAATAGCAAAGTCATAATATGTTAGCACCTTGAGATGCTTCCTGTGATTTAAAGGACTAAATTATAAATGTGATGACTAATCATAAACATGATTTAATGAGGACAGTGATAACAGTAAAAATAAGCATTTGAAATAAACCTGAGCCTGGCATCGCATTGCTCCTCAAACGTGTTGATAAAATTGCGAGTCTCACCTTTTCCCCCAAAGTGCCAGAACGCTTCTCCCTTCTACAAATCAGGGATTGGTCTTTAATTTTGGTAGTGTGCATTCCACAGGTTTCCCTTTGTAGTTGACTTGCTTCCCATAATTCATACGGTGCCCTTCAACTTCATGTGAAGGTGAAATAGGTGCCAGCAGCAGCTGAAAGATGTGGTGTCTTTGCCTCCATTTATGCCAAGGATATGGTGGGGATGGCTCACCTTTTGCAAGAGAAACTTCAAATAGTTTACTGTGGTTCACATTGATTGCAAGGTCTGTGGTCCTCAAAGGGAACCCATAAAGTTCAATTAAAAATCTCATTAGACTAGTATAGGAGGATCAAAAAGAAATCACAGAGACTCATGGGAAATGGCAAATGTTGGGCTGATTAGTCCAAGGCCATCCTAAATGACTGTTCTGTGCCTTAAATAAGACATCTTCAGCGGTCTGTTAACGGCAGTCATACGTTGTTTTTTATATTCTCTCCGACGGTGTTATTGTGGAGGCTAGAGCCCAGCTAAATGTCCAGCTCGGTGCTAGTATCCATCTATCCTAAGTCAAGGGTATTATTCAGCCAAAATGTTTTAAACATTGGAGGTTGGAAGGAGTAACCGTGCATTTATGAGAAGATCATGAAGTACGGATTTGACACGTTGCGGACACAGAAAACTACTTGTGCATTAATTCCTTTGGTGGCTGGCAATAACCCGGGACCCATGCTGGGTCACAGTACCGTATTTGTTTCTGTCGGGGAAGAGAGGGAGAAAAAGCAATAGGACGCCAGCAAACCGAAAGATTATTTTTTGCAAAGTGTGATTCTTGTTGTATGTTACAAGGCGATGTTTCAGCTGTTTCCATTAGGGCCCGGCTGATCTGGTTTTGACAGTTTGGCAGTTTCTGGCGGTCTCCAGCCCATCAGCAGTATAATGGGACGGTCGGGTTTGCGTTGCCTCGGATTGAAAACTCTTAACGAGCGGAGCGCCGCGGCGGAGCACCGCTCCGCTCCAGCCTCAGACGGAATTTGCTAAATGCAGTTCAAAGGCGATCAATACCTTGTGCAGGGAGTTTTTTTCCCCCCACCTTTTTTCTAAACAAACGCATTATCGAGGAGTTAGTTTATTCACAGATTGCCACGAGCGTTAATGACCGCCCCAGTCTTGTTCTGCCAGTCACCCAGATGGCTGTTGATAAAGATTTAGCATCATGTTCTGAGTGTCAGGGCTGTCAGTAGTGCTGAACCATTTGACCAGAAGAAAAAACGCACAGGGAGCTATTGATTACAGCTTCTCAGTGTCACTTGTTCACCAGGATTTAGGTATTGATGAGGCTGCGAGTGAAAACAAGCTCTTTCCCTTGTGGGCCTCTACCCAGAAGAACAAAAGCAAAGTTGGAGAAAATATTCAGCTGGTGCCCGAATCAGAGGGACTCCGTTATTGATCCGAGGGCCCCTTCATGTTATTTTTGTTGGAGACAAATCTATGGGTTTGGAAGTTTTATAGCGTTTGAGGTAGGGTCTGTGTAAGTGATGGATTCGTGTATTAGATGAATTAGATTTCACAGCATGAAGAGTTCAGCGGAGCTATAGTATTATGAGCTGCTTGGTTATTGATAAAAATTACATTAAATGTAGCCAAGGCATTAAAGCTCCAGCCTAGGGTAGTACTCCCTCTAAAATGTCCTTAGGGCCCTAATAAATTTTAGCAGGTTTAATTATTTTAGTAGTCTGAAAGTTGTCACCACAATTGAGCCACACTGAAGCAATATTCAATATTTTTAAATTACAGCGCTGATGCAGCCTTTGTACCGCATTTTCTTTTCCATCCGATGCTGTGGAGGGTGACGTACGGGCGCTTGCGTGTGTTAGGACAAACTCAGTATGAAATTCTTTATTTCGGGCCTGGAAAAAGCTACATTTATTTCCTACCCTCCTCTTCTTGCTTGATGGTAAGCCACTTATCCCTGCGTTCGTGAACGGGTCCTGCACCGACCCAGGGATCATCCAAGACCCTGCGCGGTGTGCCAGCTCACACCACCTGAAAATAAAGTCCTTTTTTTCCTCCACTTAGGCACACCTTCCATCTTCTTGCACAGTTCAGTAGGAGAAGTCATTGATTTATCCCCCTGACAAAATCCCCCAGTACATGAACCCCCTCCAGTTCAAGTGTCTTTGCACCATCTCAGCAGCCGCAGGGAATTGGCTCAGAAAGTTTTGGCCCCTGTCCTTAGCAAGATTTATAGCCTTACCATCAAAATATGCTGATTTACTGTATATATTTTTAAAGAATTGCAAATTAACCGTGGAGATTTTTTGCCGTCTATTATTATGACTTCTTGTGGCTTTGTCACTCCAGAAAATCTGTCTGCAGTAACTCGTGCACGTGGATTGTAAAGACGGAGAAATCCCCAAACAGAAAAACACTTGCAAACAACAACTTCTCTAAAGAAGTCATAAAACAAGCGCGGGATGGCATGGTATGGAGTAAAGATTTTATTGATACTCACTGGAGTTGTCGCGGATGTGTAATTCACTTGTGGCACTGCCAACTCCAAACAAAGCAGCTATTATAACCTTTTTTTTGTTAAACCTTGATTAACAATAAGCACCTATATGTATTCCTGTTTAACGTGATAGCCTGTGGGCTGAGATTGAGACTTTAGATTTCAGCCTTTGAAATCACTGAACAAAACCAAAAGAACCCCAAAAAAACAATTTATAAGGGTCTGGCCAGTAGTTGTTCCGCTACTTTGGCATTTGTGTGTCCCAGACTCAAATACGAGCACAGCTTGAACTGTGCTGAAATAACTATTAAAAGGGATTAAAACAAGTCAGTGTAAAGTACGTCACTTATCTGACTCTCTCTATATAAATAAATTATACTTTTTGACTTAAAATATCCAAATTTGTGAAAACTGCACTTTTTAGTGAGTTATTGTTTTCACAGCTCTATGATTGCAATCAAATTACTATGCAGTTACCAAAACACATATGGTGTGATTAGAGATAACGTATTGCATTTTTTATGGTGTGTACTTCAACTATGATAATCACCTGTAATAAAAAATTAAAAAAAACCCCACCTTTATGTACTTCTCTACATTATCAGTCTATTATGTAACTTCTTGCATTGATTTTTCAGAATCCGTGACATTTGGCTATAAATGATACAAAGTAGAAGGCATGAGGAAAAAAGTTCTTAAATTGGTTAGGTGTGAATTAAATCTCTCCTGTTGTGGGTTTTAAAAATTCACAACCCATTTTGGATTGACTTGCTGTTAAATAATAAATAGCGACTTGTTCTTATATAGAATTTTTCAGCAGTGCACGTAGAGGTGCTATAGGAAGAGGAGGAGATCTGCCGAGGCAGCTGGGGCTCGGGAATCTCGCTCCTGGAAGTGCTGTTTTCAGTGGTCTGGGGTTTTTTTCCAGAAAGACATCCTCTTCTAATCCAGGGATGGCGACTGATAGTCGTCCTGTACCTCCTTGCTATCCTCGTGTGCGTTTTGGGTCTGCGAGGCTTCGTCACCCGCCCTGGGCTCTGAGGTCTCGACGGCTGGCGTGGGGCAGGAAAATCGACTTCTTGCGGAGAAGTTTTTATATATGGGATTTCCTTAGATCCGTTTTACCCTTTTAAGACTTAGCATCATTTTTATGTAATAAAATTTCTGTCCATACATATTTTTTCCCAAGATCTAGGTTGGTTTTCAGAGCCTGTGATGAGCACCTTTTCGGCATTGTAGCAGCTCAACCGGGACCACGGCTGCGGTGCTGCCACTGCCCCGTCCCCCTCGGGCACGGCCGGCCCTGTGCCCTCGGGGGTCCTTCAGTCCCTGGCCCTGCTGCCCTGGGGGCAGACGACTCCTGGTTTAGCGGTGGGTTTACGGGAGTCTTCCCCAGCCGTCGCTCCCCTTTGCCTCACCCTTTGCTCCTTTCCTTATTTTTGTGTGTTTTGCAGATCCCAATTATAATCCCGTGCCACAGGGTGATTCGCAGCAGTGGGCAGAGCGGCAACTACGGAGGAGGAAACCTTATGAAAGAGTGGCTTTTGTCGCACGAGAAGCTCCAGAAAGAGAAGTTAGCATATTGATGCAGCTGAGCCACGGCTGCTAACCAGCCAAGACATACAACCGCGGATACTTGGCGTATAACAAGCTCTCAGAGCACCCAGCAGAATTCAGAAAAATGGTAAATATTTGAGCGACATATAAATATAATGCAACATCCAAAGTGAAATGTGCGGTGGCACCGCTATATTAAAAAAGCGGGATGCGTCCTGAGGGATGCAGCTCGTCTGCCCTTTCTTGTTTTTACATTTTACAGCAGAATGAGTACAGCGGTCCAGGCCTGTTGTGCATGGATTTTGTTCCCATCTCCCATCCTGTTTTGTTCTATTTTTAATGTCCATTAAAGCACGGATAAGGACATGGCACATGTGAGGTGCATCTCGCCTGTGCTCGCTCCTGCCCAGCCTGGCACACTCGGCCCCGCCAGCCTCCTGCCCGGGACTCCCCTCACCTCTTTGGTGCCTTGAAATGGTGGTGGGTGGAAACGGGAGGTAACGGAGCGCATTGAGATGTGTTCAGAAGCAAGCAGCTGTTGAATTGCTTGTTCCCTGCCTTTCTTGCCGGATTGCGAGAGATGGGAATAAAAATTTTTGCATTTGCAAATGATGCAAAAAGCAGGCAGAGGAGAAGCTGCTGACAAATTGTATTAAAAGTATATGTTAAATAAGCAGTTTGATTAGCGCAGCTTGGGAAGAATATTGAAAAGCTTATCATAGTTGCATCTTTATCAGCAGCACATTTCCTTTTATCATTTGATTATTTTTTCCCTTTAGATTTTTGCATTTCTGTGTTATGCAAAGCTTTATTTCCCATAGCCTCTCTGTAGAAAGGATTGAAGTATTCAGGAGATATTAAAGCTAAATTTTGAGGTGGTTTAAGCTGGGTTCTCTGCAAATGTGAGCCACCAGAAGCTGAAATTTTCAGTATGGGAATCGTAAATCGTAACATGGAAATACTGATTTTTTTATGTGTTTTATCATATTTTCATAGATGCCTCTTTAGAAAGGCTATTGCTAACCAAAAAATTCTTGTGTTACGATGCGTTAGTTAATATAGTGTTATTGATACCTCAGAACTACTTCAATAAAAAAACTGCTTTGCATGTGCAAGTCTCTTTGTGTATGTTTATAAATAAAACACAGTATGTGATATATGGAGAAAATAAACTATACCCAACTGTACAATATAAAGCTGTATTTTTATCAAGGGTTTCTGGTGGCAATATAAACCACGAAAGCAAAGCTCAAGTGGTTTGTACGTGTCACCAGAACCCTGAGATAAAAATATAGCCTTATAATATGTACAGTTTGGGTGTATTTTTTTTTTTTTCAATAATACATGCTACCAACAAAAGAAGACGGTAGGAAACGTAAACTTTAACCTTTCTCCCGTTTACGCCCCTTGCTGTTTTTTTCGTCAGGTATTTGCTTTTTTCAGGGACGTATCTTTATTTTTGCAGGTACGGTGACTCTGAGCACGGGTTTCAGAGGCGGGTAAGCCCTTCCCGAAGCAAACACCCGACTTTTTAGCAACCCCGTGTTTCTGGCTCAGAGTTTGTGCCGGGGGGGGATGTGGGCGGGCGAGGGGGGCCAGGCAGGGCCAGGCAGGGCCGACAGAGGGCGCCCCAGCGGTCACTGGCCGCGGCCATTCGGTCCGGCGGGGTTTACCA